TGTGAGGATAGCGAGGGGGACCATGTAATTCTCAAGGCCTCCGCCGATGCATCGGCTACGCGGCTTGATGTGGAACCCGATTTTCTCCATGCCGACAGCGCTGAACGCCGCCGACGCATCGGCGATGCGGCGCGAGCCTCCGACCCCATCTACTCGGACCCCAGATGGGAGGCCTCCAACGTCGTGGCACACTGCGCTGATGCTGCGACACGCCGTCCCGTCCCAAGGTCACCTCCTCGGGCAAGACTTGGTTAATCTGAGAATTGGGAGGCCTACTGTGATTTCGAGAGATTATCTGCCTCCATCAGATTATGTGCTCGGGAGTTTTAGTGCCTGCTGTGCCTGGAAGAGAGTGCGACTCTGGCATCCGCTCTCCATGTGAGCTGTAGGTGCAACACGTCTGAGGGATTTCCACAACGATATCGTGATTGTGCACACCCCTCGCCCTTCATCAGCGCAACCATTCGAAAGCTTGAAGGCTTCAGACCAGTGAAGCGATTCCACTCGAGAGAGCGTTTCTGCAAACGACTCGCGGTCAGTCGGTATAGCCGTTTGGCGTTTTGAGCTTCTTGATCGCAATATGTGAGGAACGCCTCAGTCAGAGTCCTCCATCCGTGTAGATATTGAGATATAGAATATATGAAGCTCTAGTGTCATGGACTGATCTCGCAACTCCCTCGCGATCTCCCATTTCTCATGCACCAGCACGCAGAATGGATGTATCCCCGTACGCCCGTCAGTTTTGGGTCTAAGTTTTTCCATTTCCCAAGTTTCGTTGAGTCATCAGAGAAAGCGAGCATGCTCAACGTACGAGCATGTTCACCCCGAGGTGTAACCGTTTGGAAGAGTTCGCGCGCATCGACGCGGGTAAGGGCGAAGGAACTGACAAAAGGCATAGGTCGACCTCCATCAGTGCCAGGAGGCCATGGGTGACAGCTAACCATCGGACATTTTGTCTACCTCTTTCTGTAAGGTCTGTCACACCCCAACCGCTACCATTTCAAGCAATTTTTTGGGACATAGGTGGAATGGAAGCGGAGATCCCGCCATAGTTCCAGTCACCTGTTGTACCGCTCTACCAATCAGGCCATGCATACTGTTTGATTTGTTTACTCCTTGCCAATCGCTTACTGCGCCTTGTGCTATATGCGCACTAACCATTTGTTTTGCCTACTCTGTATATATCTTGATTCGAGCATTGCCCACGCGCCTTCACCAATCTCAGACGTCCACATATCTATAAAGTGGTACGTCGCTTACCCGACCTGGAGTACGAGGTGGGGGGTTGTTTCAACATGGTCTCCCATGGTACTGTGCAACTATTTGCGATTAGCTCAATCACTTTAACCGCCTCCAGCTTGGACCGCTCATTGTAAAACAGTGCTCACTCTGCGTCAAGACTGTTCTGTTAACTTTACAGGCGGGGGACGACAACGATGATGATGATGCTGATGATGATGATGATGGTGGTGGTGGTGGTGGTGATGGTGATGATGATGATGATGATGATGAGGAGGATGAGGATGAGGATGATGATGATGATGATGATGATGATGATGATGATGATGATGATGATGACGATTATGATGATGATGATGATGATGATGATGATGACGATTATGATGATGATGATGATGATGATGATGATGATGATGATGATGATAATGATGATGATGATGATGATGATGATGATGATGATGATGATGATGATGATGATGATGATGATGATGATGATGATAATGATGACGATGATGATGGGGGTGATGATGATGGTGATGATGGTGATTCTGGTGAGGGTGAGGAGAAGAAGGGGAAGGCACATGTGGAGGTGCTGGTGGTGGGTACGGAGGTCGGCAGAGGGATGGAGGAGCGAGAGGGAGAGAGGAGGCACGAGCACGAATGGGACAACGAGGACAGAGAGGAGGAGGAGGGAGGAGGGAGGACAACGACAGGCAGGACAGACACGAGGATCTGCACAAGGAGGAGGCGTGGGCCTCCCCTCGCGCTGCCCGCTCCCGTCAGGTCCCGAAGGGCACCCGACACCGCAGGCGCCGGCGCTGCTGCCTCCCGCGCCCTGCCCTCCTCCAGTCCTCCTCGCCCGTCCGTCTCCCTGGGCGCTCTCTCTCTCTCTCTCTCCCTCCTCTCTCTTCTCTCTCTCTCTCTGCGCGACCCCAGTCGCCTCGGGAAGTGTCTCGGAAGTGTCTCTCCCGTCCCTCCTCTCCTTCTCTCCCGTCCTCCCTGGCGCTGCCCTCCTCTCCCCGCCCCGTTCTCCCCTACCGTGCCCTCCCCTACCGTGCCCTCCCTCTCTCGCTCGCTCGCCCGCCTCCGCCGCGTCGGCGGCGGTGGCGGCGGCGATGGGCCGGTGGCTGTGGCGGCAGCGGCCTCCCTCGAGCGGGGGCGCTGGGGGCAACCAGGCGGATTTGGCCAGGCCCGACCTTTGACCTCGGCCCCATCTCGACCGCCTGCTTGGCCCCGCAAGCGACGAAGGGTCGGGTGAAGCTGGGCGAGGACCAGGAGGGAGCAGGGAGGGAGAAGGATGAGGGACGGAAGATCAGGGTGAAGAGGATGAGGATGATGATGAGGATAATGATGAGGATGTGATGTGTTGTTGATGATGGTGACGATTATGATCATGCTGGTGATGATAATGACGATGCTGATGGTGGTGATGATGATAATGATGGGTGATGATGATCATGGTGATGACGCTCATGCTGATGATACTGATGCTGATGATGATGCTGATGCTGCTGCTGATGCTGCTGCTGATGCTGCTGCTGATGTTGACGATGACGTTGACGATGATGTTCATTATTCTGATGATGATGATGATGATGATGCTGATGATGAGATGATGATGGTGATGATGATGATGATGATGATCATGACGATGATCAGGATGATGATCATGATGCTGATGATGATGACGATGCTGTATGGTGACGTCGGTGGTAATGATTATGCTGATGTCAATGATGCTGCTGATGATGATGACAACGATTATGATGAGGATGATGATAATTGGTAATGGATGGTTGTTTGATAGTGTTCATGGTGATGGTGATGACGACGGTGATGATGATGATGATGATGATGATGATGATGCTGATGCTGATGCTGATGCTGATGATGCTGCTGATGATGATGCTGGTGATGGTGATGGTGCTGGTGATAGTGTTGATGATGCTGCTGCAGATTATGATGGTTCGCTGCTGATGATGATGCTGATCATGGTAGTGGTGGTGATGATGCTGATTCTGTTGATGATGCTGCTGTTGCTGATTGTGATGATGATACTGAGGATGCTGCTGATGGTGGTGCTGGTGGTGATGATGCTGTTGACAATGATGATGATGACGCCTCTGCTGCTGATGATGATAACGATCGCGACGATGATGACGGTGCTGCTGCTGATGATGATCATGATGCTGATGATGTTGATGGTGAGGGTGATGATGATGATGCCGATGCTGCTGGTGATGATGAGGATGTGGATGATGATGATGATGATGATGATGATGATGATGATGATGATGATAATGATGATTATGGTGATGATGTTGACGACTGATGACTGATGATGGTGTTGTCTGATGGTGATGATGAGGATGAGGATGATGATGATGCTGATGATGCTGCTGGTACTGATGATGACAGCTGATGATTATGATGCTGATCATGCTGATGATGAGGATGAGGATGAGGATGAAGATGAGGATAATGATGATGATGAGGATGACGATGAGGATGAGGATGAGCATGATGATGACGTTGACGATGAATTGGGTGAGGATGAGGATGCTGATGATGATGATAATGATGATGTTGTTGATGATGTTGACGACGGGTGATGATGGTGATGCTGATGCTGATGATGATGATGATGACGATGATTATCATGATGCTGGTGATGATGATGATGAGGACTAGGAGGAGGAGGAGGAGAATGATGAATATGAGGAGGATGAGGATGATGATGATGCTGCTACTGATGTTGATGATGCTGATGATGGTGATGATGATGGTGTTGATGATGCTGATGATGCTGCTGCTGATGATGAATCTGATGATGATTCTGATGATTATGATGATGCTGATGATGATGAGGATGATGAGGATGATGAGGATGATGATGCTGATGCTGATGCTGCTGATGATGCTGATGATGATGATGATTATGATTATGATTATGATGGTGATGAGGATGATGAGGATGATGATGATGCTGATGATGATGCTGATGATGATGATGATGATGATGATGATGCTGATGCTGATGCAGATGCTGATGATGCTGATGACGACGGGTGATGATGCTGGTGATGATCATGATGACGACGGGTGATGATGATGATGATGATGATGATGATGATGATGATGATGAGGATGATGAGGATGATGATGATGATGATGATGATGATGATGATGAGGATGAGGATGAGGATGAGGATGAGGATGAGGATGAGGATGAGGATGAGGATGCGGATGAGGATGAGGATGAGGATGAGGATGAGGATGAGGATGATGAGGAGGAGGATGAGGAGGAGGAGGATGAGGATGAGGATGAGGATGAGGATGATGATCCTCCAGCAGTGGCGCGAGCGTCGAGAGTGCTTTGCCCACCCTGTCCTCCTCAGACGGAGGCGGCAGCCGCGCGACACACGAAATCTGCGCGAGCAGATCCTCGGCGCAGCAGGCGACGAGGAGACACCTCGACCGCCCAGGAAAGCATGCTCCCCGCCTGGCCCCTCACTGCCTGAGGCCATCAGGAGCCACCTCAGGGGCCCCGCCCCCGCACGGGCCCGCGGGCCTGGCGGCACAGCCCCCCCCCCAGCCCCCCCCATGTGGCCGGCGCAGCATTTCGAGCGATCCAGCGCCGCACACGAATTCGCGCGGGAAGGGCTCGCCGCGCAGGAACGAGCAGACCTCGTCACTGGGCCTTCCTCGATCCTCTGCGGCTGCGGTGCCCGGGCCTCGCCACCGTCCCTGGGTCACCGAGCCTGCGACGGATGCAGTCCACGCTGCAGCTGCCTCAGGGCGTCAATTTGGCGGTCCACCGCCCTCCTCGGGCACGGCTCCGTCAGGTCCATGACCCTCGCCGGCGCCGCGTTGAAGCCGCACACCGCGCAGAACACCCGCGGGCCCGCCGCGTAGCGCACGTGCGTGGATGGATGTTCGCGTTCCACCAGGGGGGGGGCCTTGGCTCGAGGCGGGGTTGCCACGCCGAGTCCTGGCGGCTCGCCCTTCTGGTCCTGGGGCCAGGCACTTCCGCACCCCCTGCCTCGGCCTCTGCCTCCTTGGCCGCGCCCAGGCTGGGCTGCCTCGCCTCCCCCAGCTGCGCCTTCGCCGTGAGGCTGGGCAGGTTCCGCTGGCGCCGCCTCCTCTGCTGCATGCGGGTTCTCCGCCCCGTCCTGCTGGTTCATGGCCGAGGTCGCGACTCTCACTGCTGCGGCCACTATGGCTGCCGCCTCCGCATCAGCTCGCCCAGCTCCCTCACCACCGCCGGTCCGTCCAGCACCGTCACCTAGCCCTCCAACTCGAGCTGTTGCTGCTCGTTTTCCCTGGATGGCCGTCCCCGTGCTCGCACAAGACCAGCAGCGCTACTTGGCGCCACTCTCCGTGATGATTGCCGTGCCGTGGACGTCACACACTCGGATCGGTCATGCCACGACCCGTACTCCACACTCAGCTTCCCGCCTCCTGCATCCTGGCCAGGCGCAGCGGATCGCCTCGAACCCTGGCGCATCGTAGCCGTCCGTCGCCCTGAGGATGGCGTCGCCCGCCTGCATCGCCTCGCCGATCCGCGACGTCAGCTGCTTCGCCAGGTCGTCCGCCATCTCGATGCGGTCCAGCCTGCCCTGCGCCACTCTGTGGATGTGGGCTCCCTCCTTTGCGCGCTTGTCCGCCCTGGCGTTCCCCGCGAGCTGCAACTCCGAGATGCGGCCTTCAAGTGAGTCGTACTCCTGTGCAGTGGGCCTTCACCTTCACGGCGGTGGCGTTCCGCTCCCCATGGTCCTCGACCGACGTCAAGAGCTCGACCCACAGCTCACGGTCTGCCCTCCTCCGCTCTGTGCACCACCTCCTGCCAGCTTCCCGGCCGTCGTGCGCCATGGGCGAGTCGGTGTACACAGTGATGGGCCCCAGTCAGTTCCTGAGGGCGATGGCCGCCGCCTGGAGCTCCCCTGCACCACTGCCTGCGGGAGTGGCCAGGGTACGTTGCCCCAGGGCGCCGCGCGCTCCTCGTCGCTCGCCCACGTGGAGACTGCCGCCCAGCCAGCTCGCGGCTGCTGCCTGTCCTGCGTGCATGTCGCCGAGCCGTCCAGGCCACGGTCGGTGCACGGCGCATGCGCCCACACATCCGACAAAGTGCTTTTTCCCGCTCCTGTTGTCCTGGATCCACTGGGGGGCGTTTTCACATTCGGCGTTTCCACATTGGGTGGAGGTGGGAGGGGATCTCCCTGACCATGATGTCCCCAGGTTTGATGCCCGCCATCCTGAGATGGATGTTGCGGAGCAGACTCGGTGCCTCCTTCTCTTGAGCTGCCACCAGCCCCCTCGACCACGTGGGGTGCTCATCGTTTCAACCTGGGGTACAGTCAACCCGCGTAGTAATGATGAGCGACTTTCTAAGGTTACCCTTGCATCCTTCCCTTTCGGCCCATCCTTGGCCGCTTGCGCTGGCCGCGTCCCGCTCGCAGAGTGTCGACATGGCATTCCAAGGCCCTTGCATCCTTGCCGCTAGCCGCCTCAGCCTCCCTCAGCACAGCGAAGTTTGCGATTCCCCTCTGCTGCACCTGGGCACCTCCGCTTCGAGTGGCGGCCCGTGCCTTCCTCTTCGCAGCCCTATGGGCACCTCGCCGACGAAGCAAGGGGTGGGCTCGCCCCGGCTCGCCGCGCCACTCACGGCAGGGCGGGTGCCGTCAGTGGCGCCCCCGAAGGCGGCCGCAGTCCAGCAGGCCCCTGCAGGCGCTGAGGGCCAGAGGGCCGTGGGCGCGGTGGCCGCGGGCTCCGACGGCGACGAGGTCGGTTGGGTCTTTGGAGTCAGGGGCTCGGTCGGAGGCTGCCGCGGGGAGGAGCGTAGGGGGCTCATCCTCGCAAACAGTGGCAGCGACGAGCACCCCTGCGGCCAGGTGTTCGGAGCACAGCATCCGACAGTTCAGGAGGGCCCCGCTGCGCCCATGCTCAACCGCGGTGGGCGGCCAGAGGCTAGGTACCGGAGGGCTGCGTAGGATCCCGATGGTCGTCGGTGGCGAGAAGGGTCGCCAGCCATGATTGGGGAACCTCAGAGTGAGCAACGACCTCGCCCCTCAGGACGCGGCGCTCAGCCTCGGGAAGCTGTCGCGCAAGCAGTTCAGGTTTGTCCTTGAGGAAAATGACCCGCACGCCGTGAACCTCGAGATGGGCGAGCAGGCTGACATAAGGCCAGTTGGCAACGCGTTATACTTCGCCGCGCAGATCCACGGCGCGATGGGCGAAGCCGAGCTCGCAGCCTGCCCCGCCAGGGTCGCCGCGGCAGGTGCCGCAGGAGCTCCGTGGGGGACGGTGCGAGGGGGGGCCCTCCGCCGCGCCCAGAAGCTCGAGGGTCGCTTGACCCAGCGCCACCAGAGGCAGGAGCTGCGCCACCGCAGGCGCAGGATGCGGCGGCGCCGCCAAGGCCGCATGGGGCGGCGGCGCCCCCGCCACAGCCGCCAGGGCAGTCATGCCTCGAGGGGCTTGGACCAAGCTCGAGGATCGACGTCATGCAGAAGAGCCTCGAGGATATCTACGCCCCGTACTATGGGACCAAGGCCCAGTGCTGGGCACGGCTCGTCGAGTACGAGGGCAGACGCAAGGTGAGGGCGGCGACGGTTGACTTCCGCGAGCTAAGGCGCGAGGAGATGAGGCGTCAGGCGGAGACGGGGCAGGTGCTGGAAACGACCGCGTTCCCCGACGTCCGCGAGCCGACGCCAGGGGGGAGACAGCGCCGCGAGGAGAACCGGCACTGCCCACCGCGGCGCTGGTGTGAGCACTGTCAGATGGGACGTGGGCGTGGCAGGCCCCGCGAGTTGCGAGGCGCGGAGGTGTGGCGCCTCCCCGTGATCGGGCGTGACCTGGCGTTCTTCAAGGGCGAGGCGGCCGACGCCGTGGAGGCGGGCCCCCGCGCCGAGGATGGCCAAAGACAGGGCGAGGGGGTGGTGCTGGTGGTCGCGGGCGCCGACGCGTGTGCCGCGAGGAGTGCCCCGAAGCCTGGCCGACGCGCCGACCCCTGCGCGGCGGCAGCCGCGGTGGCGTTCATCAAGAGCCTTCTCCATCAGAAGGTCACCTTAAGGCCAGACCATGAGGACGTCATGATGGACCTGGCCAACAAACAAGGTCGAGGCAGAGCTGCCCAACCGTGTGGTCGTGAGACCCGCCCCTACGTTCAGCTCCCAGTCGAACCCCTCCGAGAATGCCAATGGCATCATCCAGGCGCAGGTCCGCACGAGCAGGAGCGCGCTGGAGGCGCGACTGGGGGCCAGGGTCCGACTGGGCGTGGCCGTGTACAAGTGGCTGCAGCGCCACGCTGGCTGGGTATGCACCAACCTGAGGATCGAGGCGAGCGGTTGCACCGCACGTGAGGACCTCTACGGCCACGCCTGCACCAGGGAGATGGCCTCCCCAGGGGAGTCCGTCCTGGCGCGCCTTCCCAGGGGCAAGAACCGCAGGGCGAGAGGCAAGGTGTACCACATGGGTGACATGGGCTTCGCGAGGGCGGTCTGGCTAGGGGAGAGCTACGACGCCGACGAGCACATCTGCGCCCTCGAGACGGGTGAGCTAGTTACGACGAGGACCGTCAAGAGGCTGCCCGAAGAGCGGAGGTTCAACTGCGCCGCTGTGGCGGCGATTACGCACGTGCCGTGGCAGCGCCGAGGGCAGCGCTCGTTGCGCCCCCTGCCGCAGTGGGCGCCGACCTGGCGGCGCGAGAGGCAGCTGAGGCACAGCCAGACCCGAATGCTGCTGCCCAGTCCACTGGGGCCGCCCACGGCGGCGGGCCAGCGTTCCAGACGGGCGCGCCCATGGCGGCGCCCTCGGCCGACGCGTCGGGCGGCGCCGAGGCGCCCGCTGGGGGCAGGCAGGCGGGGCCACCGACACAGACGTCGGCTGGGGGGTGCGCTGGGGACGACGCGTCCATGACGCCGAGGGCTGCAGCGCCGGCGAGTGCGCCTCCGCTGACGCCCCCGATGGGGCGATCGCCGAAGCGACCCGCGGAGGAGGGTGACAACCGAGGTACCCTTGCGAGTTCCCGAGTTAGCGGAGTAGCAGCTGAGCACTGTGATGACGTTCGGCCGGACTTCCTGCAGATCCCCAGGGGCGTGGATGTCCCTGATCCCCATGATGCGTCGGGCTCGCAGTTGATAGAGGCTTCCACCCGACGGGCCCTCGACGGGCTGAAACAATACGGGGTGGGCCAGCTCGTCAAGCGGAGCGAGGCCGCCGGCAAGAGGATCAGCGCCCGCTGGGGCCATGTCTACAAGTGAGACGCGAACCTCGGGTGCAGGATTGCTAAGTCAAGGTGCGCCGCGCGAGAGTTCAAGTGGCAGGAATGCCGCGACGACCTCTTCGCGCCAGGGGGCAGCATGGCCGACAGCCGAGTAGTGGACTACGTGGCTCTGAAGCACGGATGGCCCATCTTCACTGTTGACGCGGAGGGCGCGTACTACCATGTCCCCGAGGAGGAGGACGTGTGGGTCGAGTGCCCACCCGGAGTCCTGGAAGTTTGTCGCGCGAAGGGCGACGCCGAGGACTGCGTCTGGCAGCTCGCGAAGCAGTTGCCAGGGCGGCGTGCTGGAGGGAAGCGCTGGGTCGAGTTCGCCGCGGAGCAGCTCATGGCCAGGGGCTTCGAGCGGTCGCCGACCGCGCCCCAGTTCTTCTGGCGCGCCGGGCTCCCGTGTCTGGTGGAGCTGCACGTGGGCGACATGTGCGGCGCGGCGCCTGGAGTTGCAGGGTCCGGCTTCGTGCTGGACCTAGGCCGTGACATCGAGGTGAAGTGGTCAGGCCCGCGGGGCGACGGTGCCGACTGCGAGTTTCTCAAGAGGCGGCGCGCGCGAGAGGCCGACGCTACTTGCGTTCAGCCCAGCGAGAAGCATCTCACTAAGGCGCTGGAGGCGCTAGGCCTTGAGGAGGCCGACCCGCGCGCCGCCCCGGGGGTGGAGGTGCGCAGGACAGGCGGAGGTGACGCGCCCGATCGCGGCCCAGACGAGGCCATGCTGTTCAGGGGCGTGGCCATGTGCCTGCTGTTCAGTTCGACATCAACTACCTGACCTCGTGCATCTCATCGCCCCGTGAGGCGGGCGTGCGAGCCCTCAGGTGGCTGGCAAGGTACCTGAAGGGCGCGAGGGGCCTGGGCGCGAGGGTGGCCAAGCCCACCGCGCCGCAGGATGTCGTCGACCTG